TTGTGTTTTCTCCCAAGTCAAAACTTCTCTAGGTTGCAAGAACTCTGAGCTGGTTTCTAATGGATTATAGTCAAAACAGTTCTCAGCACTCCTATAATTTTCTGCTCTATACTGCATTTCTTCCGCCCACTTGTTCAAATGTAGATGTATACCTGAATTTAGAACTACGTAAAAATGTAAGTGAAGCCAATAAGAAAATCTCACATTGACCCCTGTGGGCTTTAAATGGCATGGCAACTTCAAAATCATAACAAGATCTGTTTCCAAAACAGACTTGTCTAGTTGCTTTTGGTGTCAGAATTAGAGGTTAAAAAAATAATAGAAACAGCAATAAAGATATTTTGGTGCTTGAGAGAAAAGATGTACATGCACATCACAGTGTCTGAAGTGCTTCACTAATGGGCTGCGGCAGATAATTTCTCTTTACTCTGCTTAGCACTAGGTCAGCCACCCCTATTGGACAAAGTAGTAAGGTTATCTTGGTTTTATTTGTGGTTTTGAGGCATTTTAAGATTGTTTCCTTTATTTTCAGCCATCAAAACAGTCTGGGTGTGCTGGAATATTCTACCTCATAATAACCGCATTGGAATAACCTCATAATATGAGGTTATGTTTCCTGAGTGCTTGGTAGCAGTGAATGAGAGCATTGTTAGAAGCCTGTTGTCTTCAGGCACCAACCTCAGCCTGATAAGCAATTTTAAGTAGGATTTCACTTGGCACTGAAGTTACTTTGCTCAGTAAAATAAAAATAACTGCTGTACATAAATCCCATGTTGTACGTGCAAACAGGAGAAGCAAAAGGAACAACGTGTTCAGTAAGAACCCTTAACACCAAGTCATGGGGCTGGTCTGCTTCACAAGTGGAACACAGTTTTGCAAGAAAATGCTTAATATAGAGTTGGGCTTTTCAGATGCAAGATGCACCCAACATCATTGGCAGTATAAAACACCACTTACTAAGTAGCCATTCTACACAAACAGCTATTTGCACACAGCAAGCTAAACTCATGTTGTTCACTTTGCCCATTCCCATGTTCTTCTTTCTGTGCTAACACTTTTGAGTTCTTTGGGGCAGAACATAGTATACACGTTTGTATTTGTAGCTTGCTGAGCTCAAGAGGCACCTGCCCCATTTGGTGTATAGCATCCTCAAAATTACCCAGTGAAAATACGGTGTGAGAACCACCACACACGTACAGTATGGCTTTCCCCAGCTCATTCTCTGCAGAAATAAGACAACCAGCTACACTTGCCAAAAGTCCCATTTTAATTCTTTCTGCAAAATACCTGTTTGGGCATAAATTATAATCAGATAATCACAACTGCTTGCTGCCTTTTTTTTTTTGTTGTTGTGGGTTATTTTGGTTTTGTTTTTTATTACCCTCCTGCTACTGGAGGCAGCTGCTTCTTATTGTCTCCAATGCACAAAGAAAGACTGAGTAACATTTCATGAGTTTAAATTAGTATGATGAGTAGTGGAATATTTATTCAAGTCTAAAATGTGATATTCTTTTGGAGAAGTGAATATTCCATTCAGCTTCACAGTACACTCTTTCTCAAGGTCTTAAGATCCCAACAGAAGTCTTCAGAACAATGAAATCATCATAGATGTTCTCAATATTTTTATATTTACTTGGGAAAGCTGCATACCAGGTAAATGCTTTAGAAACTAACACACTGGCATTGTGATGTCCCTTGCCTTATGGAGTATAAGACCTCTGTGATCCAGCATGTATGATTTTTACAACACTAGTAAGGATTTAGCCATTTTAGAGGTAATACAACTCCTGAGATCCTTTCATTTACTTCATCACTCCAAATAATCCTTGGCTTGTGTAGCTCCATTCACTTTAAGAGACATCCTCATCTCTTTCAATAGGATTCTGGTGTCTCCTCCACTTCCTCCCCAAACTCTTCTTTGGTTGCACTGTTACCCTAAGGAGTACAGTCATTTCTGAGAAGCTGGAAAAAGCCCTTCTCTGCTTGCAAACACACCATAAAGGACCCAGTATTTTTACATTCACCCTTGAAATCCATTTTTTCTTATTAGCTTTCCCCTTTGGTATCTAACTCTACAATTTCTACTTCTAATCTCTCACCACACCTTAAAAGCCATTAGAATTAATGGAAGTCACCTGTGATTGAGTGCATCTCTCAATTCAGGGAACAAACCCAGGTGGGCTGAAATAACAGGAAAGGGCATCAGTGTTGTTTTGATATTTAAGCACAAAGAGGAAAATAGACAGAGAACCTTTTAATTCTACTAGCTTGGAACTGTGCAAGCCCTACAGACCCCATCCTGGTAGGATTCAGACAAGCCAAAGTAGAACTCTAGTTCATTTATGAAATGAAGTAAGCCTGCTCTTGCCACAACCTTAGGTTTTACTCTTCAAACAACAGAATGAAAATCACCGAGTCTGAATTATAATGCAGAGAGGTCTGCACTGAGACCATATTATTTCCATTTGTTTTCTTTTGGTTTTGCTAACAGCACTTCAGAGAACCATTAAAGTCCCTTAAAGCCTGTCTACTGAATTCAAAGGGAACAAGTTTTCCTTATGCTTTGCTTTGTTGAGATTTTTTTATTTGGCCTTGTCTGGTTTTAAGTTTTCACCTTGGTTTTAGGGGTCCCAGTAGCAAAAAGCCCTATGAAAACTACACTGAAAAGGCTGAGAAGTGCTTTGGGCACCATTGGAAAGAAAGGAACCACAATTCCTTAGTAACAGCAGCAATATCAAACTTGCTCTGGGTTGAAGAATGTCATTTTCTTAGCCTCACCTTCCCCCTAACAGCCCTGAGTTACTACATAGCACAAAGACATTTGCATTGCATGAAGGAATTTGTTCTGTTGTTTTTCTCTTATCATCCAAACATAAGAAGCTGCTGAGCTGCAGGCAGGGGAAAGGTGCCACAGAGCTGGGAGGTTCACATCATTTCAGAAGCAGACATGAAAAAATTAGTTTAACAGTGAACAAAAAGAGTCAGTTGAGCCAACTCAACATGCAGGGAGGAAAACAACTTTAGACACACAAACTTGAATCAAATTGTGAAGTTTCTAAGGTTAGTGGTGTTTTCTGAAGCCAGCCTGTGGTAGATTTTGGCTCATCACAACCCAGCTGTGCTCCTCACAAAAAAAAGATGAGCTGGAAAAAGTAATAATGCACAAAGCCATCCCAGCTGAAGGAACAATAGCAAATCACTCAGACCAAAACCACCCAGCTTATAGCCTTGAAAAACATCTTGCTGCACGCACACCATCTTTTCTGTTCTTTAAGCCAACATTCACTGACTTTGCACCACTGCTTGCTCCGGGGCAAACAAACAGAAGATACCACTAACAAACTGGTTTCCAAAAACCCTTGGAGAGGCTTGAAGCAAGAATTACATTCAAATTTAAGCTTGGACTGCAAAGCTGACCTGCTGCTTCCCATCATCTTAAGGACTGATTTGTTGCAGCTGCAGGTTTACACACCTTGGCTTTTCTTATACAGAGACAATACCAGCCACTCACATACAACAAGGGACTTCGTAACGTGGCTCAGCTGCCAAAATGCCGTACCAAGATTTTCTCACTGGGTAGAAGTGCCTCTTGTAGCTTAACAATTAACATTATCACACTCTTTCCCAAGTCACCAGCGTACAGCACCAGCAAAAACATGGGCCAACTAAAGCAGCAGAAACACAAGAAAGTTCTCAGAACTCCGTTAAAACACTTTTAAGCAATCCGACTGAATTTTCCCCATCAGAGGGACTCTAAACCAGACAGCTTTTACCATCGCTCTGCTGCTATAAATTACATCCTTCTAAAGGAGCAGAACAGAATGTGGTTAATATTCTGCTATCTTTAAACTAGCAGGTTTGCTGTTAAACAGGCATAATTAAAACAACAAACAAGAGAAAGAGACAAGTCGGGAAGTTCAGTGGCCTTAAATAAGCGCTAACGACCTCTTTGTTGCAGAGTGGGGGAGGTCGGGTGCAGCATCGCGATCCTGCTCTTCACATTGCTTGTGAAAGTCTGTATTAATCCAGGCTGGCAGCAAACTGTTGCTTTAAGAGACACATTCCCTTCACAAACAAAGCCAGGTGGATTTTTAACTTATTTCTGACTGTATTTAGGTTTCTGTTGTTAAGGAACCCCGGGCAAACGGGATTTTTCTCCTGTAAAATCTCTACAACGACTGCTGCTGGTCTCAGGTGTGCAGCCTTAGTATAAATGTGTAATATTAAAAGGTGCCTTCAGGCACAGCCGTGAGCTATGGAGAGAAAAATGCACTGCCCTGCGAGTGGCCTCTGGCACAAGGGAAAGAGATAGAGAGAACTCCTCCTAGAACACCCAGTTCCAGTTTTGCCTTCAACTCCTCTTTTCCTGGCAAAATTCATTTGTATCTGGCTTGTGAATCCTGAAATGCACTGGAAGACAACTGCACAACCCCTCTTTCCTCTCACAAATCTTCACACAAGTTCTGCTAGCTCGCAAAGGAGCATCCTCTCTTAGATACTGTTATTCCATCCCAGTATAGTCTTAAAATACAAAGGCAATCTACTCTATGAAGAACAGGCAAGAGACCTGGGGGCATAATAGCTGCTGCAGTTCAGGAATAGATAACACAGGCATATGAGCAGCCCTAGGAAACCACTTAAGAAGAATCTGAGAAGTTCAAAAACGCCTACTCAACTACCCCATAAAACACTCCCCAGTTCACATATATTATTTGATTCAACCAAAGGGATAATAAACATTTTACTCATGTAGAATACAGCTATAGATAATGCTATAGCTCCTCCTTTCCCAACCTATACCCTCCACATTAACAAAACAAACCCCAAATTTTGGTTAGATTATCAAGACTCACTGAGATTATTTAACAGAACCAATAGAAATCAGTGCCTACAGAGAACAAATCCCCATATCCAGAAATCATTCTCATGATCCCACTGCACTGCTGTCTGTGCAAACAGATCTGTTTGTAAGATAAAACATCTACAAGCCCTTCACCCACCTCTTCCAGATGTAGCAGGGGTGCTTCCCAGGCCCTGCTCAGCCTCTCACTACCCTTTTGTCCTTTCTTGACCAGGTCTCTGGGAGCTTGCCACCAACAGCTTTTCCTCTGTTGCACACCAGAGCTTAATGAGGCAGCCACACCCTCATGCTCTACATGTAACCTCTGCAATCAAGGGCAGTAATTGGAACCAGCTGCTCTGTTTTAAAAGCTCCTCCCTTCTCATCAAGTTTCCCACCCCATCACAGCGCCATCTTAAGGTTGTGATGAATTATCCAGCCTGCCTCTTGATCCTCCATCATCTTGCTACACGGCAAAGGCAATTCAGGGGCCACAGAGCACTGATCTCACTAACGCAGGCTCAATACTGTGCCTCTGCACTGTGCAAAATCATGCCTGATGGGTTTGGTTACGTATAGGCCAAGGGGAGTACAAAATGGATAAATTCTACTGTGGTGCAACGAAATTTGTGTTCAGGACATTACTCATCACAAATACATTGTGTCATACACTGACATGACGGATGATTCTTCATTGTATTCTATCAGTGCAAGACAGCATATAAAGAAGCAGTGTTATCTGGAGGAAGATTTCACCTGATTTCCTTTAAAACCTGCTGAGCACTCTTGTTTCTTAAATGCTTGATCATCAGCGAGCATCTCTTTTCACACAGGGTGCTCTGATTGCACATTAGATGAGAACCCACTTAGCATTGCAGCCACAGGCAGGACAAGACTTATTTTTCATTGCAGGATACAGTAGTCATGGTATCTTCCTTCCTGTGCTGATACTTTATCATCTTGTAAGTAGACTTCTACCATGAATTTAAAAGTTACAGTACTGCTCCTGTCCCCTTGTGTTTTCATGACAGAGGTATATTTTTCGACTGTCAGCTGCAAGAAGGAGGAACTGGAAGTAAAGAGAAAATATGGAGGTAAATTACTTGAACTCCTTCTGTGAAAAATAATCACCTCATCCCTTCTTGTTCATCGCTAACTTGTAAACTTGTGTTAGCCTCAAGCTGACCTGCTCTATATGAACTTCATGATCTTAGAAATTACATCAGTATTCTTCTGGTCTGTACAGCGACCATCTGGGGGAGCTCCAGGAGAAAATGCTATTCCTTCTATCCCACACAATCTTATTCATCTGGCTTTGTTTTCTGGGTAGAATATTTCAATACCTAATGTTGATGTTTTCAGACAGATATGAGGCTCAGAATCTGACAGCAAAACCCAGGCACCGAGGCCACCACCACTCATTAATCTTCCTGTTCTTTGCCTAACAATATGATGTTACACTACTGCTATTGCTAACCTCTGCCTCAATTTCTCAGGCGCAGGATGACACTAGTAATATTTACTCCTCTAAAGAACATATTGAGCTTTGCAAAAGAAGCAAATTCAGAAGCTTGATAATACAAGTATCACTGAAAGCTGATAGCTGAATATGGCTGTCTTTGTCTAACACTTGGCTGTCTTTGAAATTAGACCATACATGCTGTGTCACCTATGGAAATGTTGATTCACCTGCCTACCGGTGCTTCATAGTGTTTTCTAATACTTCTTTTCTGGTTTTCTCCAATGTATCAGGAACAAGTCCTGTTTATGCCAAGCAAGACCTATTGTTCAAAAGTTAAAAAAAAACTATGTCATTTGTGATTGTGTCTGAAAATCTTTTCTATGAACTAGCAGACTGTACAACAGATGCAAGATCACAAAAGGATTCAACCAAGACAAGCCCACACATACGATATTGGCAGTGTCAAAAGTTTTCTTTCTCTTAAAGCCAAGATTAAAAAAATAGGAGAGAAATATTTCTTGCAAAGTGCATGTGGGCTTTAAAAAGAAAACCCATGAACTCTTCCCAGCCTTTTCTGTTCAAATATTGTAACAATCAAAGTCTGTAACTTCAGAAAAGAAAAACTCCCCCTCCCTAGAACAGAGTGAGGGCGTTACAGGTAACTATATCACAGGGTCCATCTGCTAGATTCACTTAGGAACTCATAAAAACAAGGTTTGCTGCAATAAGGACTCCTTTCTAATGTTGGTTATCTTCTCTGCTAGGAGAACAGTAATTTTGCCAGAGCACAGCTATTAGATACAAAGCAAACCAGTGCTCACTCTAAATGCCCAATCTTTCTTCAGAAAACGTGGTTGAAATCCACAATTGCTATATAAGATTAAAATACAGTCACTAAAAATAATCCTGGGGTTCCTGAGCCAAGGCAATTATTAATGATACATAAACACACAGTGATCAGTGTCCTGTATTGCTGCTCAGAGAACTGCTCCATTCTCTCCAGGAATCAAACTGAAGACACGCAGCTAAAGCAGCTTAACAGGTATTTGACACCTAACCGAAGAGCTCTGCATGAAACAGACTGAGGAACCTAAAGCAAACTCAGATAAAAATGAAGAATGAGTTGCTTTCTGCATGTCATCATCTACAGAACTGCATTTTCTGAACCTACTTGTCACCCTTCAGACAGTCACATCATTTGCAAGTAGGTGTTTTACACGCATCTTGTATCAAGGCATGACACTTTTCTACTGACAGAATGGAAAAAGATGTACCTCTTCAGCTCCCACTATTTCTACAAGCAGTCTCTGTACTTGGATGAACAGGGTTAACTTCAATGTAACAATGGTAGCTGTAAGCTTCGTAAATACTGCTCTGGAATGGACTGAAAGACTTTTTTGTCACAACCTACATCTCACAAGAAACATAAATGTATGTACAGTCAACTTATGTGCTTGCACTGTTATAATGACAAGCTTCAATGACATTCATCAAACACAGAACTGCTACAAATGTGTTGTTATAATATGTGAAATCATTTGACATTGTCTGCCTCTTCTGTCTTCTACCCCTGCAGGATAATCCACATGGTTTTCCACACCAAACCGAATGATGTATCTAATATGTTTGTCGGTGGCATACAACTTGTGTGTAAACTAAGTAAGCTTGATGGTGATGGGTTGTTCTTTTCATGGCTGGAACAGGTACTTCAGTTTAGCAAGCACTGTAATCTGGAACTTCCATCTTCTCTTTTGAATGCCAGCAAGCCTTCGTGAGGAATCATTTGGATCATCAGGTGCTATTTCTCCCTAACAATGAGGGTCTGCTTTCAAACAGTGTATGGGATTTCTGAGGATATGCCCCTACATTTACTGCCCTCTTTTTTTTTTTTTTTATTTTTTTAGAAATGCTTAATATGTGAAAACTAAATACAAGATCTACATTCATTTCACCTGTGTCCTGAGATTAAATGTCAAGAATACTCAAGGGAACAATGTTAATGAACAGTCTTAGCCCACAGCACCCACTATCTGTCATTTTTATTAAACACAAAAGAACAAAAAGGTTAGTAGAAGTGTTGATATTTAACCAAAAGGGAACACTTTCTGTGCATATTCATGAGGTATTAACATTAGCACCTTTTTTGTTCTGCCCAATGAGTTCAGTGATAAATAGAGATAAAACAGGGTTGAATGTGGTTATTGAAAATAAAGATGTTCTGCTAGCTGGCCAGCACATCAGTTGGTTTCACATGCTTGGTTTTTCTCTTTCATTGTTCAGTTCTACCTCAGGTTATGAATTTTCAGAAGCAAACATGAGCAATTCAGAGTAAATATACAATTGCTACTTGAGCTGGCGTATCACTTTTCTTGGTTTTCGTTTTACAGAAAACGAAATAGAACTGTACACTTGAAAAACATTGCAATATATATATATTCCTGCATTTTTCTCTGCCATTTAAAACCTTTCCGTAATTCCTCCTTCTCCTTTAATGTAAAACAAATATGACAAATCCTTAATGATCTCGAGGATTCTGCAGCCATTTGTATGATACAAAGATACATTCACTAATAAGTTTTATGAACAGAAGTGGTGAATTTGCTGCTTGTATTATTTAATCCTACCAGACCATGTTAATATTAGCAAACTCAAAGTTTTCATACATTTTAACATACCATATAATTTAGCTCAAAACCTGAATAAAGCATATTATTCTCCATACACTCTTTATTTTTCGTAAAGTCATCCAGACATGCAGCAGAATCACGTGATACCCAATAGCCTAATACATAATCCCACATGAAGAAAAGCATTTGCAAACACATAGCTAAACTGTAATGCCTTAGCTTAAACCTATTTAGCAAAAAGTAGGTTGCAAGAAACAAATATATTTGCAGAAAAGTTGGTTTACTCACTAGAGAACAATGATGCATGAAAATAGAATATGCAAGTGCCAAACCCAGGATATATAACTATTTCTGCTAAAATACCTGTTGGCCACAGTGCAACCACTACACCAACCTGTGGTTCTTTCCCTCCTACCACCTAGGGCGTGTTATATCTACTATATAGGGTCCTTAGAGTAGGGACCAACTAACTACTTCTGTATGCAGTGCCTGTCTTGAGTGATGCCCTGATGACCCTTGCTGCTGAAATGTATGTAAAAATTACCATAACTTGATAAAACAATAAAAAGCAATTGTCTCATGGTTCACTGGTTAACTTAATCTAGAACAGTATAATCCAGGTATCTTCTACAGTTTCTCCTAGAGTTAATTCTAACACCAGGGATGAGCTTTGCTTTCTATCTGAGAAGTGTGTGTGGTTGTGTCCTGCTTTGAGTGGTTTACATAGTTCACAGAAGAAAGGTGTCCCAGCACCAGGCTGCAGTTTGCAGTGGCAATCACAAAATGGTTTGGGTTGGAAGGGACCTTAAAGATCATTCAGTACCAGCTCCCATGCTACTCCATTGCTGTCCAGACAGTAAAGGGCAGTAATTTTATAAGGGTTTGTAGTGACAAAACAAGGGGGAATGGCTTTAAGGTGAGAGAGGGGAGACTTAGAGAGGGTGCCGAGGCACTGGCACAGGGTGCCCAGAGAAGCTGTGGCTGCCCCATCCCTGGCAGTGTTCAAGGCTAGGTTGGACACAGGGGCTTGGAGCAAGCTGCTCTAGTGGAAGGTGGCCCTGCCTGTGGCAGGGGTTGGAACTGGATGAGCTTTAAGGTCCCTTCTAACACAAACCACTCTATGATACTATGACAATCTCTCTGCATTACATTTCATGACCTATACAATGTACTGCCCCTGACCCTTTGGTTTG